TATGTTATGTTATGCTTATGCTGACAGAACAAACAAGTAGAAGTGAATCAGAGATGAAATAAACATCTCGACACAGATACTCGGCCAGTCTTCGCAAGATAGAAGCATCACTGGGGTTAATGGAAAGCCATACATGGAATCACAGTCTTGCTTCAGAGCTTCAAATTTCTGGGGAAAAAAAGAGAGTACTCCACTTGAGGATGAACATCATGACTTCACTAAGGGGATTGTCAAGATGAATCAGGTTACTCTATTGGAGATGAGAAAGATCCACTGGAAAAGGATCAAACTCATGATTGGAGAGAGACTTCATAGGGGATAAAATAAATATCCACTGTGAACTGAAGTAGTTTAAAAGGAAGTTATAATTGTAGATGTCATAGTTAAGGCCTCACGGGGGATAAAATAAATATCCACTTTAATAGGGAAGCACAGATCAACGTTGCAAGCTGAGGATGTCAGATTTGAGACTTCATGGGGATGAAATAAAAATCCACTTTTCCAAGAAATTATGAAGTTGTAAGAAGTCTGTTGAGGAGTGAAATAACATTCATTTCACTGGAAAGGTTGAAGCCAAGGAACTTCACTGGCGGATACTTAGGTTACCAATACGGGAAATCTTGCACCAGACATGTCATAACTGCTTGAAGTGGAGATTCACCGGGGAATTGTCATGACTAACTGTGGTAGAGACTTAATGGGGAATCATCACACCACTTGAGACAAGAGCTCTTTGGGGTATGGGTGAAGAATACTAGTCCTGAACAAAGTAGTTATGCATTGATGAGCTGCATGGTGGTCTCCATTTCAAACAACAGTTTTTGTGAATGGATAAAATAATCTTCAATTCTCAAATGCCCCAGATCACATGGTTTATAAGTCATCTCAAAATGATTTTACAGGAAACTAGGCATCCAAAATGTTCCAATGTTTTCAAACTCTCAAAGAGATTTATCGAATCTCGACGTAGCTACCCTAGATTGACTGCATTCCGTATAGCTGAAACTTCAAACTTGCTCCCTTAGGGATGGTTAGTCTATGAAAGCAACAACTGGGAAACAAACTTGCCCCTGGTCAGGAGAGTATTCAGGCAACATGCCCCTGGATATGATCATTCTTGGAATGTTTCACCCTTTTTTTATCAGAGTTTCAAGTCTCAAAAGATTAAGCTCATCATTGTTGTTCGTATGCAAGCTTCTATGATGTCAAACAATGTTTGCGAGCAAAAAAATGTCAATTCTGAAACTGCTAATGCAACACACATGCTTGTCTTAAAGTTTTTATTTATTTATTGAAAAGATATCACAATAACTTGTGACCGAATCACTAGTTAGAATAGGAAATTATTAATTTTACAAAGCCAACACAACTTTTGAGCTTAGCTCATAGGAGTCAGGAAACGTTATCTCATCAAGTACGCTTTCAAAATAAACCCTGCTTCAATTAGGTCTTTTGAGGGTTATATCATGGATTGGTTCACGACTTAAGAAACAAAGGATATAAGACTCAAAGTTTATTCGTGCCCACCCATTCTTTGTGATGTTCTCCAATTCTACCTTCAGTTAACCTGACACGAGCACTCATCTCTCAAGAGAAGTTTTGATATGGTTGAGAAACCACTGAGGCTTTGGACATGGCAGTCACTCACCTTTTTACTTTTGGTGTTTGATCACACGACTTTGTTATTTATTGAGGATTTTTCTTGGTGATCCTTTGTTTTTGCTTTTCGTGTTTCCTTTTATTATTATTTTATTTTTATTCCCTAACTTTTTCATGGACGGAGTCTTTGGATTTGACTTTGAAGTCCAACAGGATGCCTCAATTTTGTCTAAGTCTCCTTCATAGGTTTTGACTTAGCAGACTTTTTCTTTTTTCATTTTTTATTTATATATGAACAAGTCGTGTGACTCTAAATTATTTTGACCCTTTTGAAAGGATTGTGACTGCCTCACTCTTTAGATAGTCGAGGGATAATCATTGTGGTTTTTTTTTACTTCCAGCCTCTTAATATGCGAGGAATAGATAAAATGGATTCTCGAATGTTCACTCCTCCTTTTTGAGAGTCTGGGCGCTCGATCAGTTTAACTGAAAACCATCCTTCCCCAGGTAAAAATTGAGGGTTTTTTGTATGTAAGGAAAATAAAACTTCTACTTCAAAGCTCAAAGGGGTTAACAAGGGTTTATCTCCCTTATATCTTCAGTGTTTGAGGATTTGAAACAATGCCTTACATCATCAGCCGGGTTTTATTCAAAATTATACGACCAGAGATCTTGCGGTTTTGATTTCGTCATCCTCCTCCCAATTCTCTATCAAAGCAAGAGATTGGATAAAGTTGGCATTATAAAACATGAAAAAGCATTTTATGAGTGAATACAAATGGATTTCTTCAAGACAAACATATTTATTGCATTAATCATTCAAAACAAACAAGTTCTTACATGTAAATCATGCTTTTATAATAAAAGAAATAATAATCCATAAACCAAATCATACCAATTGATCATTTTGATCTCAATAAATCCACAACCTCACCCTTTGCACCATGACCTAATTTCAAGTACTCTCAACTAAAGCCAATGATGAAGTATTAATCATACACCCTAACATTTTGATCCTGAGGCATTCTTGACCCATACGCTGCCAAAGCCCAATTTTGATTTTAATAAGATATAGCCCGAAATTTTATCCAAGATATCTTCAAAGAATTAATCCAAGAACGGTCCAAGAATGAAGAAAGATTTCTGAAAGTGGAGCACATATCAAGTAGAAATCCTAGGACGACCATAAGTCCGGGACAACTAGTCGTGCCCTGAAATGCTTAACTGGTAGAATAGGTACCATCTACACTTGAAATCAATGCACCTGCACAAGTTGGTTAGTGATGATAAGCACACACACAATATTCTATAACCTGAAGGTGTTATGCAAGATGATGCACAAAGAAAACAAAATATTATGGTAAAAAATTAGGGTATGACATAAACATAAAATTGTGTTGCCTCAATACAACATGGTGTTTCCTTTTGAAATTTTTATGAAAGAAATTGAAAAGAAAACACCGTCTTGTATTGAGACAACACAATTTTATGTTTATAAATTGTATTCCCTAACTACAATGTGATGTTTCCTTTTTAAATTTTTACGATGTATGAAGGTTATACAACTTATAAACCGAAAGTTGTGTAGAATTTGAAAAGGAAACACCATGTCGTATTGAGACAACACAACTTTACTTTTGTAGGTTGTGTTCCCTCAATACAATATGATGCTTCATTTTTAAATTCTCGTGATTAACCATTTTATATTTGGGTTTCAATTCTTCTCTAGATAAAGCAATTTCTTCTTTGTTGAGCAAATGCTTATGTTTTTATAATTTACTTATATTACTTCCTCTAATCATATTTATAAGAGACAACTTAGGTTTTAGATTCATTGAATAATCAATGTATTTGATCTAATAATAGACTAGATACATTGATTATTCAATGAATCTAAAATATAAATTGTCTTTTATAAATAAGGCTGAAATGAGTAATAAATAAAAACAAAATGGTTATGGTTTAAAATAAACCGATAGTCAAGACAACATTAAAATGACATAAGATATAATAGATTTCTCCATGGTTGGTTAAAAACCAACCGTAATGAAAAGTTATCCTCAACATTTATCACTTTGGATAATAGAATAATTGTGGTGAAAAATATAACTTTTCAACTCAATTGTTATTCCAATCATTGGAAAAAGTTCTACATCACACTGGTTTTTTAAATACCAAAATATTGTCATTGAACTTTGAATTAAAGACCAAACAACCTTTCACCTCGATCAATACACCAACTATGGTGAAAAATCATCCACTTTCTCTAAAACATTTCGTTACCACAAACAACCAATCGAAATGAAATCCTTTTGCCAACTGATGAGCTACTTTTTATTGTAGTGATGAATATTGTACAATGTTGGACTCATCCATAAATATGAATATTTTAAGGTGATGTTTACCATGTTAGACAAAAACTCATCAAATATGAGGATATTGATGGAACACGATCTTGTTCACAATAAAACATTTTCCTCCATCATACTCATTTTGAGGTTGAGAAATCATTCGGAGACATGAATACATTTTGGGAATAAAAGGAGATATATAGATTTTGGTTTGATTTTATTTTTTTAATTAATTTGTTTAATTTTTGTTTTTTTAATTATATATTCTGTTTTTTAATTTTTGTATTTTGATTTAATATTTAATAATTATTTTAATTATTTTAGTTTAATTAATAAATATAAAAAATATAAAAATGACGTGTGAAATTGGATGAGCTATAGTTGACACTATCCAAGTCTTTTATAACTTGACAATTATATTTTTTTTTTACACATCAATACTTTTTTATCAGAAATTTTAGAAAAATAGAATCAAAATATTTAAAAATAAAATAACCAAAACAACAATTTAATCTTAATATTATTGAAATTTGGGTGTAATTGAAAAATTCATAATGCAACTAAATTTTTGTGGAGGTTGTACACCTGTCTTGGGCTACTGGCATGGTTTAAAATAAAAGAAAAAATTGACTTAGATAAAAGAAAAAATAAATAATTATAAATTTAACAGATTAAAAGAACTAAAATAAAATAAAAAACTCACAAACTCATCCCAACTTAACAGATTAAAAATATATGAACAATAAGATTAGAAGAAAGAAAAAAAAAATAGTAATATAGAAACGAAATAATATAAGTACAGTAGAAGAAAGGGAATGAAAGAGAAAACAAAAACAATATAAAGCAAATCAAATCAAACTTGATTAAATAACAGCAAGCTACATATCCAGTAATCTTGTTTTATTTCTTGAAGAAAAAATTTCTTAAAATTTGATAATCACTTCCTATACATGATAATCATATATAACTATATATATCTCAAAAATACAAATTTATAATATATAGTTTATTATTGATTCCTATACCTTATAATAATGAATTAACTTCAATTTATGCATAGCCACAAAACCCATTCTCACAAGGATCACCAGATGAACACTCCTTCTTACACTTTCCACAATGATGAACATTTGACAAAACATTGGTACACACTCCATTGCAACATCTTTCACCTTGCTTGCACTTGTGACCACACTCATTACAATTGTTCTTGTCACTTAAAACATTGCGACAATGTTTCTTGCAACAAAAGAGCAAATCCTTTCCCTTGTTTGCTCTAACTCCATTGCATATGTTATTACTCTCGAGATTACATTGTTTTCCTTTCTTTATTATGCTTGCCAAGAATCTACTTCTTGATGATCCATCATGTTGTAATGGAGTGTCCACAATGTAGAACTCTTGTGCCTCTTCATCTTCGTCTATGTCGTGGTGATTTTTATCATCATCGTTTGATGAAACAGACAAGGATAGAGAGATGAGTATAGAGAGAATTATTGTGAGCTTTAGGATTTTGTAGGCCATGTTTATTCTCTCTCAAACTCAAAGTGTGTGTGTTAGTTATGAGAAAAATTGTGTGGAATTTAAAGTAAAGTTTATCGTAAAATGCTCCATGATCTTAGGGGAAAGTTTGTTGCTTGCAAATGCAAGTTTGAATGAGAGAGTGTAATTCAACTAAATTCTTGGTTAGAGCGTAATATTAAGTAATGTACAAGCATATTTGCATGATTCTGTGTTCCAAGTTCTCGATTAAATATTGCAATAATTAGCAAAAGTTAACTTGTTTTGAAGATGGTTTAAGAAAGCTTCCAAGTTTTTTTTTTTATAACAAAAAATAAATAATTAAATTAAGTCGATGGAGTTCACGCGAGGTTGAGACAGATATGTCTCAAACAATTTGAAAGTTAAGTTCTAATCTTAACATTTAGTCCCCTAATAAAAAACACATTAAATTCAAAACCAATTAACCATTTTAAATACAAGATAAGGAGCTAAATCACCGATAAACCACGATTATGATAAAGTTTTAATATTCTCCATTATAGATGAAGGGTAAAAATAACTCTTGAAAAGTTTCAAGATTCTAGCCATAAACCACGATTATGAACACATATGAAGAGTCAAGCAGAAAGATGACTAAATAAATAGTCGTTTTTATTAATGAGAGTTTTTCTAATTTTCTCTTTTAATGTGAGATTTTTATGGATTAATTTAAGACACTTTCTATTGATTTTGAATTTTTTTTTATCAATACCTTCGCTTTTTATTTCAGAATTAAAGAACATTTTTCTAAAGATAAAAATGTCGAATGAACAAGTGAAAATAGTTTTCTCTTTGTCCTTTGGTGTAGTATAGATCATATTTTCCATAACATTCAAAATCAAGGGGTTACACCGCCTTTGAGGCTACCTCACTGCTTATGTTCTTTCTTCAAGTAAGATCCTAAGCATACACATAGATAACTTAATATCATAAATGTCCGTCGATGTCCATCCAATTATCTTATGTTTCTTCAATACTTATAACAACTTTTGTTTCTGTTCAGATTCAAGTTTAGATGAAATTATTACAATTTTTTTTTCATCAAAATTTTAAAACGTAGGGAATGACTTTAGCTCTAAAGTAGGTGTTTGTTCAATGGATGACAAAATTTTGGTAGTAAAAACTATATTTACATCGGCAACATCAACTTTGTCAGTAAAAATCTCATAAAAAATATCACCATGTAAAGAAACTTCAATTTCAGTACAAACTAAACATAAGTGAGTATTAGTACAAACATCACAAATATAAATGTCACCAAAATTAGACAGAAGGAAAATCAGCAAAAAGTGAATCGTGTGCAACAAGTTCTCTAAAAGTTCTATTTTGATCGGTCATGATATAATCATCAAATTAAAAATCAGAATCAAATCAATACGCAATCAACACATAATCAAATAAAATAACTATCAAATATGACTAATAAAGGACCAGTTTGTTTTACCTTTTAAAAAATGGATTTTTATTTTTATTTTTGAAAATGAATTATACAAAACGTTTTTAAAAATATTATAAGTTTTTCTAAATTTGTTTTTTATAAATTAAAAGACAAATTTTGACATACTATAACATAAACATACATTATTGAAGATCAAAATATAATCAAAATCACAGTTTTTTCAAAAAAAGTTGTATCTCAAAAATGATTTTTTATGAAAAACTATTTGAAATAACTTCAAATTAAGTGATTTTTTGAAATTTTGACATTCAAAATTTTTTTCGATAAAATGATAAAATACATAAATAACAGTTTAATAATAACTATTCAAATCAAATTTTCATTTCAAACTTTAATGAAAAATTTCTTTATAAAAATTGTTTACATCAAGATATGTTACACTATAAAAATTATTTTTTTAAAAAATCAAAACAAATGGGCCTAAAATTTAATGAAAAATAATTAAAATAAAATCTAAAATTACTAATATATGACTAAAAATCAAATAAAATAAAATAATGAATCTACAATTTTTTTGAAAATATGAAAATTGAGAAAAAAAGAAGAGAAATTTGCGATTCTGAGCCATTCGAAACAGTAGCTTATTGAGTCACCTAATAGGGTGAGATACTTACCATTATACTATAACCCTGAAAATCAACAAACAATACCAAAATACAAAAACAAAACAACAAAAATTGATAACAAGACTATAAACTAGGATTCTAAAATTGGCTAAAATCAACAGAGTCCCCAACAACGATGCCAATTTGATTCGCTGTCGCACACTGGTAAAGAACGAGTAAATAAAGTGTAGTCTAAGAAAAAGACACTCGAATCGTATCGCAAGAACTCTTAGTTAATTTAACCAAAGGAAAGAAACGAAAAAGAGGTTTAGGTTTTTGCACAATTGAAAATAAAGAAAACTATTACAACTATGATCAACATATTATTTTACTATTTCAGTAATTTCAAACTTATCATGTGTTGTTATATCACTAATTCCCTAAGTGGATTCATTTTCTATTTGATTATACAATCAATTAAATAAATGTTATCAATACTATGTGGATTATATTTCTATTTGCCGCATTAATCATGATGGTTAAAGGTCAAGAGAAAATAACGAATAAGATAAGTTAACACGCAAAGTTAAGGATCATGCATTGATCAATTTAATCAATCCTATTTTATGAAACTCGAATTAATTTAATAAAATCTAATGTAAGCTAAAGAATGCAAATCAATCATTTAGTTGGTCACGCTTACTCGCTTTTAATATAAGTAATGATTGTATGCTTTCGAGACCTTAAACATTAACAACATGTGTCAGAAACGTGCTGAGTTTTTTCAAATGTGTGGGGAATTCTAAAGGATCCTTGTGGTTCCCCCTTCTAAATAAAAGTTTTCTTATTTCCTCTCGTTTGTTCCATGTCGCTCTTTATTCCTGCAAGCTCACTGGAAGAGTCCAGCCCCTTATCTTTTCTTCTCATTCGTTCACACCTACTTCCACGTAAGAATTTTTCTTTCTTTTCTTTTTGTAATATTTGCAAAGATACATTTAAAATGGGGCTTAGTATAAGTGTAGGGTAGTTTATATGGGTTTTATTATTAAGGGGAAGAAAATGCAAGCTAAGAGTGCTGCTACAGATTCACATAATGTGAAGGTTCAAAGGCTATAGGGAGACTCTTCATCTGTTGATGACACCTCTTTGCCCACTCCTGGGAAGGCGAATGCTCAAGAGCCCCCATAAGAGAGGCCCCAATTTTTGTGACCTTGTGGAGTGATGTCGGCCTTGACGCCTTTCAATATAAGTGTTCACCTCTCTTTTTCTAAGAAATTCCCTACTAATTACTTGGCCATCGACTCCCACCCGTCCTAAACTATTGTGAATATGAAGGAGAACCTTCTGTTGAGGGTGCTCGTGCTTTAGAATGTCTATTGAGAGAGGTGGGATAAAAATGATAAAGTTCTGAGGGAGAAGAAAATGGAAGATGTGGAGGTCAAGGCTAAAAGGATCTCCAGAGAGAATAAGTCTTTAAAAGAATACTTAGATGCATCTCTCCTTTGCCAACAAGAGCTAGAGAAGGATGTCTCGAAGTTTAAATATGAGGTGGTGTCTACTTCTTGCGTTTACTTTGAATGCGCCAAAAAGTAGGTTATCTTCCTTTATCATAATCTATATTTAAGCCAAATGGACTTCCTCAAAGTCATCTGTAGTGGTTATCTGATGGATGGGGAGGTGGTAGCTTCTCTATGATTGATAACATGAAATCGTATATATATTTTGATGCATAATTCAACTAAAATTTACCCGTTTTCGATCCGATTTCGGGTTATTTCCATGTTATTTGTCTGATGTTTTGCAGGTATTCAACGATCACGTCTAAACAAGGCAACATGAAGAAAAGAAGCAATCTCAGACAAAATATGGACGAAAAAGGAGTGAAAACATCATGAAAAGCGCAGGAAGCTGTTTTTGCTGATGTGACGACCGTCACAGCTCCATGACGAGCGTCACACGGGTGACGACCGTCACACCTTGCGACGACCGTCATGCAGGCAAAAAACGCCCCACTTCAATTACACGTTAAAGAATCAGTTCCAATTCCCACAGAGTGGACCATTACTCCCTAAATTATCTGCCTCAAAGTCCATCATCTTCAATGATAACCGTTGGAATTCCACTTCTATAAAAAGGGAAGAAAGGGACCTCAGAAAGGGTGCTGCATTCATACAACGAAGTGATGCCAAATTTATTTCCAGAGCATATTTTCCAGCAATATTCTTATTTGTTTCTCTTTACCTTTCCTGTATTCCATTTTCATTCTTCTGTAATTTCTACTTTCATTGTACGATCAAATTGGCATAGAGATCAGAATCCTGCCAACATCTGTGGAGGATCTGCCCAAAGGCCAATTGGAATATTTACAGGTTTCTCATTTCAATCGATTCCAGTTTTATTATAATGCAAATTATTATTTATTGTTTTTATTTATGTTTTATCTTTCCCAAATCCATGTCTAGCTAAACTTAGGTAATCGATATGTAGTAATAATTCGAATGGGATTTGATAACAACTGGTTGAAAAACTTTCTTTTCAAAAGTAACTTATGGTCTGAGTGTTTAAAATTGATTTACTGAATAAACTTCGTCGCGAAAGCGAGAACTTATTTAAAAGTAGTTTTGCCACGAAAGTGGGAAATTAATTAAGATACGAACCAACAAGCGAAAGCTGCGGTAAGGTCAGATAGTAAACACTAGTCATTCATTTTAATAACAGCGAAAGCACTTTAAAATGAATTAGAACTTAGAGATTTCCAAAAAATAATTTTAACCCTGAACGGGATACGAAAGTGTACGTTTGGCCCTTAGGATTATGATTAACGTCAATAACCATCGTGAGGCGAGAGTCTTCAAATCACCATTTTCTGCTTAAATAAACTTTGAAAATTATTTCATACACCAGTAACTTATCAAATCCCTGAAGAACACAATTACTACATATCGATTCAATCATTTATAATCTAAGTAGCATTCTTA